TGTGCATTAATATTCAACCAAACATAGATAAACAGGTTTAGGGTTAACCTATTGATTGCATGTTAGTTAGAAAGGGCACATGAATACGAGAAGAATAAAGTAGAGGCCTATTATTAGGGCAGGTTCTTTCTCTTTTAGATTGGATTTGTACCTTCATCCCCGAACTTCTAGTCTTGGTTCGAGATCTATTGGAGTTAACGATCTCCTGGATCGTTAAGGGGTGTAACCTTCACCCTGTGAACGGTTTATAAGTTCCTAAAACTTGTTGGCGGCTCTTTTGCTCTAGCTTCCTTCCCTTTGGACGCCACCGTACTTAAGTGTATAATCACAGTGGGGTTCAAGTTTGGGGTAATGCTTGAAATATTTCCTACACTGATCCTAGTAAAGATATGAGTTGTAGCACGCGACCCAATGGCTTGAGTCTTCAAGAACCTCTAGATTCCCTTTAGCAATGCAAAAACCTCATTTTCTAACTCCCCAAGAGAAGAGAAATAGAAAGGAAGGAAGCCATATCCAATCGCTTGACAACTGGATTCGTACTTGACCCGCTTCCGATTGGCCGCATCATACACTACTCGTCCAGGAACAAAGTCAGAAAGCCCAGACTGTTTCAATGGAGAAGACACTATCAAGTCAACACAGACCTCGCGACCACAATCCCATGAATAAAGTAACACATCTGGAGGTCTGAGAGCCCCGTCGTTCCCTTCAGACAACCCAATGTCCACCTCCTTTCTAGCTGAAATCCTAGACCAATAGAAAACATCAATAAGGGTATCCCAAACAATATTATGGCGATGTTTAATGCCCACAATACCAGCACAAGACACTGTGTGATCATCGAAAATATCTCAAGCAAAAACCCTTGAACAAGCAGAGCACGACGTCGTGATAGAGAACAATGGAACACCCAGCCGGTAGCACATCACACAGCGATAAGTCTTGGCGTTCATCGTCTGAACTAACCTTGAAATAGGGACCGCCCGAAGCCAAGCAGAGGTGTGATCTCCCTGTTGTGATTTCCATAATGCTGATTGTTGAGGAGTTATAGAATAAGCAGATTCTGCAGAAGCGGTAACCTATGTGAAATATATATCTGCCAATTTCTTCACCAGTTAAGGGGCAGCGACCTCACTAGGATTACTCAAAATGTCAGACTCCACTGTTCCATTAAACAGACCCAGCGCATCCTCAAAGGCTCGTCCAAGACCAACAATGCTAGCATGCCGAAGAAGTTGTGTCTACAACCCAGCAGACTGCAACCGAGAAGCAAGAAAAGCATAGTGACGAACATCACCTACGGAATAAACACCAAACCCTCCAAACGCAAATGGTAAGGTGGCAAGCCGCCACTGCCAATCGTCAAACCCAGGCCCCGAAGCAATAACAATATGCTCCAAGGAAGATCAAAGAGCCCCATCGAAAGTGCGCTGAGCCACCTCAAAAGTACTAGAGGACAAGTATGCAATGCAAAGTAGAGTTTAGAAACTCCGGTACATGCCCTAAGTAACAACATCTCACACTGAGGATCATCCAGCATAGCGACCCTATCCATAAGGACAATGGTCTTGGTCACCCTCTGCATCACTAGCTCACCACTAAAAACAGAATCAAAACTAGCGGGACCACCAAACAACTTAACACCACGTAAAGGTCAAGTAATATTAGGTGGAAAGACACCCACAAGCCTGCTTCGAGGGTCTTCTGTAGGCCAGAATACTTCACCTTTTTCCACGTTAAAATGTAACCCAGAACGAGACCCATAATCAACTGTAAAACCTTCCCCACCACCAACGTGTCACCAATAATAGTGTCGTCATCCAAATACCAAGCCTGAAGACATACATCAAAAGTCTATCTGATTTTACACACTAAGGGTTGTAAAACCAAAGCAAAAAGCAAAGGACCAAGGGGATCACCCTGTTGCACCCCTTGAGACGACTATAAGGTTTGGTCCCCATAATATAATCTGGCTGGATTAGAATAGCAGAATTCAACCCATCGTGAAATGCCCGGACAACGGCGACGTACTTCACGTAATATGACCGAACGATCAACTAGATTGAAGGCGTTTTGAAATCCACCAACAACATAGAAAGACCAACATAAGAACCACGATCCTCAATCAACCGATTCACTGCATGAAGAATTGTCTCGCCACCTGAAGAGACCCCAACACCAAATTGAAGACCATCGAAGTAACTCCCTAAAGACTGACCAACCATAACAGAAAGCCACCTTTGAAACTAGACGACACCAAACCGTACCCACAGCAATAGGACAAATACCACCACTGGGCTTGACAAGTGGTGTAAGAGGAGCATTAGCAATATACTCTCCTAATTCCATAGGACATCTTCCAGCTACTAAGAGATTGACCACCCCGGTAATAGAGCCAACCAACTCATCTGAGACTGCCACAGTTGCACCACTCAAGCAATCCATAAGATGTCGATCGAGCAAGTAAACCATCCCTACCACATGATGTGCCACAAGGGAAACTCCTAATTCAATCCAAAACAACAGTAGAAGTCGTAACAAGATGAAGGTGATCAACAGGTATATCAGGCAATGATGGAGCTGGAGTCGAAGGGTACTTTGACTGTAAATCCGCAAGAGTGGCGTCATTATATGGAGCAACGCCTGAAGAAGAAAGAACTCGAACTGCAGCGGTGTAATGGCATCGTAAATCTTCCTACGACACCGCTTAATATTACGCTCTTCCAAGTTGAGATCCTCATCATAAACCACCGACAAAGTAGGAAAATTCTCTGTCGAAATTTCCCTTACAAGCTGCAAATTACCACCCGCCACACTCCAAGAACAAATAGCACATGAAATACTCTCTTCCTGATGCCGACGTCTTATCGAAGACCGAGACTCACGACTGCTCCGCGGGCGAAAGATTCTAAGGATACAAAGAGGTAACACCAACAAAGAGACCCAATTAGAAATGTCATCAGACTTAGAGATCACCTTATCAAGAGCACCTTTAGGAACCCGAGAAAACCCCAAACGACACTTGGGAGGGATAGACTTAATAGAGTGAAACCCCTTAGAGAATAAACAATCAAGGAGAGCCACATCAAAACCACCGCTATGATCTCGAGCCAAACCATCCACATGCCCAACTCGAGCAGGAGAAGAGGGAGCTTGCAACTTGGTGAAATTATTAAGCACAAAACGAACAATACCATCTCCTTCATCAGAGGGTGAAACATTATTATTATTATTATTATTATTATTATTATTATTATTATTATTATTATTATTATTATTTTATTTTTTTAAAAGAAATGATAAAATAATATTAATAGTAGTAAATATTTATTTTTCAATGGATATAGTAGTAAATAAATGTATAATATATATATAAAAAAAATGTAATAAGTACTAACAAAGACTAGATCAATCAGATACTAATCAGATCAAAGTAGACCAAAGTCACCAGACTAGAAATATTTAGATCAGGCCAGAAGTATTCTGATTAGACCAAATCAAATTTTACAATATGTAGATCGATCACCTTATTTTAGCTGAAGAGATTAAAGGTCTTTGATGTTCATCTTATTTTCACTTAATTAAGTTGTAATAACTTACGATAAGTCCAGACAAGTTTAGTTGAGGAAAAATAAATTCTGATAAAGGCTACTGAAATGCAAATTACAACTAAAATAAATTTTAATACTCCGTAAGTTCTGATAAAATAAGTTTAGACAATTAATAATCAGGTGAATATAACATAGTCTAAATCCATAATATTTCGACATTGCACCCACAAAGTCCTTATCCATGCAAGCTGTTGGATTGAGTGTTACTGGCTAAAGCCCAAACCAAATCGAGCATCCCAAATACTACCTCCATTATATATTATGTGCAACAAAAACATTGACACGGACACCTAGACAAAATTTGTATGTGAGTGTTAAAGGGAGAGAAAGATATAAAAAAGCATGTGATGAGGAAAGAGATAGAGAGAAATGACAACTAATAAAAGGAAAGAAAACATTTGTTGCAAATAAAGTGTAGCATTTATTTTTAGTAAATGTTGCACATAATATGCATTTATTTGTACATTTGTTGCAAATTTGGGTCAAGTTTAACAAGCCTTTTATTGATGCTAGACCTGTTCAATGGGTTAGGGGCCCATTGAAAGCCCTGGTCCAGCCATTTTATAAAAGGGTTTTACCCATTCAACATTTAAATGGAGTGGGCTTTTAAAGGGCTATTAAATAATGAGTTTTTAAAGGGTTGGGTCTAAATTAAAAAGGACTGAAATTGGGTAACACTTAAAAGGCTTTTTTATTCTAATTTTTATGTTTGTTTCTAAAACTTTCTAATGACAATTTTAAAAATTCTCAATTTCCCCAAACTATGAACCCTAAAAAAATCCCCAAATTCTAAATCTTCAATTTATCACCTTCTTGCTTGCCGCTCTCAATCGATTACCAAGGTATGTTGTTCGATTTCGCTCAATTCTGCTTGATCAGTTTGCTTGTTTAGTTTGTTTGTTCGATTTCGCTCAATTCTGCTCTTTTTTTTTATCACCTTCTTGTTTGTATGATTTTATGAGAACATGCGAACATGCTAATGTTTTGAGATAGTGACCACCTCTATGTACACTAATGCCACTAAATCTACCATCAATAGAATGAAAACTCCGTACTTAACCATTGACTTTTTCTATGTGATCCAACCAATTGTACCAATGTAACAAATTGATATAGTATTCCGTACTTAGCTCAAAAATAGAATACAAATATGGAGGTTTTGGTAGGTTGAATATTAGCATATACTTCTACTGCTATACTTTGTTTATGCATTTTTAATGGGTTGGGCCGGGCTTAATGGCCCATGGACAAGTTTAGCCCATTTAGATTAGGCTTGGCCCGTCCTGTCCCGGCCCATCTCATATAAAGCCCTGTCTAGCCCGGCCTGGCCCGTTGAACAGGTCTAATTGATGCATGCTAGCCCAAACCCAACCAAATCGTGCATCTCACCGTCTGTAGTTTTGTTTTGCTCTTTCATAACACCGATTTCCGATGAATTTGTACGTCATTTGTACTCGCCTTCTCTTTTAATTGTTCTTATCCGACAAAATATCAAGCCGGCTTAAACAATACAACCAAAACCCACCGATTCAGCCTTCAATCTTTTCGTGAAAAATGTGAACTTTGATTCTTTCTCCCAATTACTTCCTCAACTTCTTGCTTATACTTCCATCTTTGCTTCCATTCCAATTCACCCCTTCAACTTTCTACTAATTTCCATTACCCTCAATTTTTACTCATCGAATAAATTCTTGATAATTCCTGCTGTTTTTCATATGTTTGAAGGAAATTTTTAACTTGAGATTATTTGATGGGTGTTCTTGAAACTTTCCACTGATTTTCTGGGTTTTGGTGATAATAAGTAATTGGGTTTTGTTTCTTGGTATGGTATGGTAATGATGATGTGATAATCAGTGGCGGATCTAGTATTTTGATATACGGCCACATTGTTGGGCTCATTGGCGCCACTTTTGACTTAAAATCGACACGAAAAAAACTAATAACTTTTGGTGGGTTGGTTGTAGTTCTTGTAAATTTTGTTGGGTAATTGCTGAATTTGTGATTAGATGACAATGGTGAACAAAACAAGGAATATGTTGGAGGATTTTATGAGAGAAGGGTCATTCAAATGGCTGGTTGGTAGTCGGGATTCATTTAAAGAGGAAATGGAGGAATTAGGCAAATCATCTTCTGGAGATAGTAATTGGATACCTGAACTTTCACCTGTTGCTAATGTTGTGGCAAGGAGATGCTCAAGGTATGACTGTTAATGTTCATGCACATATTTAAGCAATCTTGTTATGCTAATTGTTGGTGTTTTTTGTTTTATTAGTATGTATTTAAATATAATTTGCTCTATATTGGATCCTCAACTTGAATTATCTAACTCGATGTGTTGTTGATTAATTTTTGATGATATCTGTTAAATTTTACATGCCTAAAATTGCGGTAGTATGTAAATGTTATGATTCCATTGTGTGGTTGGGTCTTAATTTTGTTACGAATGTGATGCATTGATATCTATTCCATGACTAAAATCAAGGCAGTGTGCAATGTGTAATGGTATGGGTTTACCTAGATTTCGTGAATCGTGAACCAGATACCCCCTTAGTTTTTCAACTGACTACGCGATTGTACTTTACAAACTATGGATTTCTGGAGTATTTAACCAATTTAATGTGGTATATGGAGTACCAGAGTTGGTATTATGCTGTCCATCTTGTGGAAAATCCGAAGTTGTTAGATACTTTCAAAGTTGGCTGGATTAATAATGGTTATGTGTAGCAACTAAGCATGCTAGCTTCCATTGTGAAAGTTGTCATATTAGGACTGATGAAGTTCAAGTGAAATGCAAATTGGAGTTGGTAAGCATGGTGACTTCTGGAGTGAAATGATTTTCTTAGTTGTTTAGTGATAAACATGTTGGAATTGATCTGAATTATTTTTGTTGAGTTATCAATTACAAAAAAAAAGTACAAATATTTTGATTACGTTGTATGACTGAATTCACGAGTTAGTGAGGGGACAATTCTAAAATAGGTCTGCAAGTTGTCTAGTAACGAACATGTACTCTTTGGTCTAGATACGTGGAAGGTTCTTTGCTTTTCGATAGCAATTATGAAGGGAAATGGCAGGGAGGAAAGTATACAGAAAGGAAAGGGAAGGAAGGGGAGGGAGAGAGTGAACTTCCAATTATGGGATATTAACTCCCCTCTCTTTCTCTCTATCCAAATACAATGTGAAGGGCTTAGTTTCCATTCTTTTCATCTTATCTTTTCTTCTTTGAATTCATTGGCCCTTATTTAAACTTGTTTAAGTTCGATTTTAAGATGTAGTATGAATTTGGATACCTTATTTAACTTATTTTATTGAGATTAACACTATGTTTTGAAACAATGGTGAAGGGAAAGGGAGGGGAAATAAAAAAGGATGTGTGGGGAGGGAGAAAATAACCTTTTATTTTACTTCCAAATTTCGCCAACAATAGAAGGATTTGGTATGTTAAAGGGGAAGGTAAATGTATCCCTTCATTTCCTTTTCCTTCCCTTGCCCTATGTGATGTCCGAATAAGGGACATTGTATCCCTCACTTTTTCTTCCCTCCCTTTTCCCTCCAAATATTCCTATCCAAACATTGTGTATGAAACCAAAGACAAATTCCATGGAGTAAAAGGCTTTATTCACAACCACCATTCACTACTGGCCTAGACTTGAAGTGAATATTTGGAAGAGATGCCTATAGGCCTATAACTTATAACCTTGCAGTCACTTCAAAATATGATTTTCACAAAGCAAAAGCTAGCAAACCATTTTATACTAGATTATGGAAAGAGGAGCCTAAGTATGTCAATCAAGCTCTTAAAAATATCAGTGAAGATTACATATATAGTTGCCTAGAGGGTAGTGCGCTGCGTTCCTTGCTTCTACTTCTAAGCTTTCTTTCTTATTGAGCTTTCCTTTCTTGATGTAGCAACTACATACATTTTCATTATCCACACCTTTTTTCTCATCATATAATAGGCGTAAGTAGGTGATCTTCTTTGGGTATTGCAACATGACACATTTGCATTTTCGATATACTTTTTAATTTTTATAATCCTATAATAGGTGTATGTGTAAACAATGCACTTTTATCAGCAATGGTTGAGTTTTAGAGTAATTACAAATTGAAATGGTTTTTAGAAAGTTTACTTAACTTTACCATGCATGATTTATTACATATAGCTCATAAACAATTGAAATAAAACATGTACCGATGCTCCAAATTGAAGATTGCACTACAAGATTGATGTATGGAACAAACTAGTGATTTGAACTATATTGGGCTGTTTGGGACTTTAGGTTGCTTACTTTATGAGTAAATTTCAATTATTACCTCATTCTGACTTCTGAGGCTGGAACTTTTCTTCTTAAGTACAAAGTTTAAGTTCAAACAAAACCAATATTAAATTGTAATTATTTTTTTTATTTTTTTATGTTTATGTTCTCCAAGAGAGTTGCAGCTTGCCTACTATTGTTGCTCAACAGCTTATGATCTTTGTGAGATGCATTTTTTTTTGCAATTTGACTGACATGATTCTATCTAGCCTGATTTCAAGGCTCCTTTTCTTCTTGGGTAAACTTTTGAAAGGACGGAGAAATTTGTACTTAATTATACCTACTGATCCCACATATTCCTCAAAATCTATGCTAAGAAAGTGGTTGGAACTGGAGTTGTCAAGCTTTATTATGCCATTGGATAAAAAGAATGATTTATATAAAGGAATAGTTAGGCAGCCAGCCTAGTTGCTTAGAGCTTTCCATGCTATGCTGGAGTAGACTTATGTTTGTGAAGTATTTTGTTTCCAATGGATAGGAGGAAATGTTTCTGTTGAGTTTTAGAGAAATATATTGCAGGGTTGCAAGTTTTAAACATTTTTTTTTTCCTGTTTTCCATCTCTTATCTATTGTATGCTAGTGGCGAGTCTTTTAATTCCATGTAGTTGCTTTGCCTTTATTTCTTCTTAAAGCTAATGTTTCCTGGGCAGAGAATCTAACTTTAACTCTTAATGAAATTGCATGACCAAGATACCATAACTTTTCCTTTCCATTACGTAAATGCTTTATGACAATTGACAACAGAGATTGATGAATGAGGTTGGAGTGGTTTTTTTATTTAGGATATGAATCGATATCTTCATGACTATATGATAATACAACCTTTATTATGATGTCCTAAACAAATGTTGCAGCTGTGGGAATTACAGTGGCTGTCTTCTCTTCCTTCGTGAGGATATCTTTCTTGTGTGTCTTAACTTTGTAAAATGACAGGCAACATGAAAATGGGAAACACCTAGAGGAGGTCATCAGGCCAAATGATCAGCCATTAATTGTCTATAGTTACTAAATGTACTTTACGGCTGCCACATGTTAACATATGATCTACTCCAACTGCTATGCTAACTCACTGTGGTGGGAGTCTCTCAACAGCACTATTCAAAGAGACACTTTAGTCCGATAAGAGAATACTGTATTAAGTCATGTAGAATAGTTTTTCAGTGGGCCAAATAGATGTATGCGAAATTTAAGGCCAATGTGACTAATACAACTAGTATAAAGATTGTGCCTCGTCCAGAATCTGTTATGCCAAATTTACCACTGAAGCAAAAAAATTCGCAACTATGACCAGTATAAGCATTATAGAGATCATGCCATGTCTGCTTAAATCTGTCTGCCAAAATGCACTGAAGTAAAATTATGCAGGTATTATTACAATTGCAGTTGCAGTCATATCATAAACCTTGGTGTTATTCTTTTGGTAGTAGAGCCAGGTTCCCTCTAAATTTATTACATCTCTTGTTATATTCTGATAGGATTCTTTGGTTGGTCATAGATTTTCTTCTTATGAATATGATTTCTCTATTGTAGGCTTGATTATCACTGTGCACTTCTAGATACCAATAATAAGAGTCTATCCTATTACCTCTGCTAGACAACCTTACTAATCCATATATTTGGGAACTCTTGGAAGTCTCCTATAGTCCTATGAGTTGATATAAAGAATTGTTTGAGCTTAGAAGATAAAGGCTCTGTCTTTTAAGTAGAGGGCTTAGACTTTAATAACCCAATCAACTCTCTCAATAATATTCGATGTAGGACTTTGGGGTGTTGTAGGCTGCTCTCTTTTTCTTATTGTATCATGTGTGAGAGATCATATTGTAGGATCTTATAACATAGCACCTTTTGTTGTCATACTATCTTTGCTGTAATTTTTTCTCAAGATGCTTCATATTTTTTGTTGTTTTTGTTTGCCACGATTCTAGCCCTGTGAATGTTTTGACACTTTACATTTCTGAACTGTTGCACGTCTGAGATTATTAGATTAGTATAGCCCTATAGCATGATGTCAGCCTGCTGCGCTGTTATCAATTATAATTTAATTGTAATTTTTAAAATAATACTCATGAAAATTCCTGCTTATTCGGTATTTCACTTTTAAAGCTGGCATTTTCTTCCTTTGCAGAATACTTGGGATTTCAACAAGTGATCTTAAAGAAGATTTTGATTCAGTTGCTTCAGAATCTGTTAGAAGCCCTTCTCATTATGCTAGAAACTTACTGGAGTACTGTTGTTTTAGAGCACTTGCCCTGTCTATGCAAGTAACTGGTTATTTGGCTGATAAAAAATTCCGTCGTTTAACATATGATATGATGCTCGCGTGGGAGTTTCCTGCTTCTTCTAGCCAACCATTACTTACTGTGAGTATATTACTATTTTATTCTTAATTTATAAAAATAATGGCTAATTTCAGTTTTAGTTTCAAGAGAGCTTTAAGATCTCGGACATGGCTTCCATCTGCACCACCTCCAAATTTTATTGTCATACATTATGGATAACTGACTATGGCAAGCAACCTTAGCAGTGATTTCAAGTCCTATCCTCCAAATGAATAATACTTACCCCTAGTTTCATCCATTAAACTTAATTCGTTATGCTTGTTTACTACTAATTGTATGTTTGAGGATTTTGTACTATAACTTTCTCTGTAGATGGGGGAAGGGGAGTTCTCTGTGACTTTGATGCTTCAAATCTTCTTTTATGCTTAGGCATACTGTCTGATTAACCTTGTTGCAGGTGGATGAAGATGCTACAGTTGGACTGGAAGCCTTTTCTAGGATAGCACCTGCTGTGCCTATTATTGCGAATGTAGTCATCAGCAACAATTTATTTCTGGTTCTTACTGCTTCAACTGGTGGTCGCCTTCAGTATTCTGTCTATGAGAAGTACCTTATTGGCTTAGAAAGGTAGCATTTAGGTGAATTCAGTTCTTGCAACGTTCAAGTAATAACTACAGGTTTAATATCTTTGCTTTTTGTACTAGATGATGGCAATTATGCATAAATTTCTTGTATTGGCACTTGGCAGGGTATTTATATCTTTATGTTCTTTCTGCTTCCAACTGGGTTCTGAAACTCTTGTTTCTCATTCCAGTTTCCACTTAGCTACAACTGCCAGGGTTTTGTATTTGCTGATCATGACTATAGTCAAATTTAAGATATATAATCAAATTTAAGATACCAATGTACCTAAATCTATATTGCTTTTCTATCTTGGGAGAGGCTGTCCTTTGGGGACGAGATGATCCTAATCATTGGCTTGTTTAGCAGTTACTAAGTTGTATTTAACTGATATTTTACACTATTGTAATTTCTGACAAATAATTGATGTTTTAGATTTATTTAGAAAAGTAGAATTTGGCTCCAAATATTATTAGACTCCCAACGAAAGTCATTAATCATCCATCTACCAGTCTACCACCCAATAATAAAGCAAGTGCAACTGTGCAATATAAAAAGTTGGAAACATTAATTGTACATAGTTAGGTAGGATTTAGTGTATAAATAGGAGAAGTAAACTGACACAAATTAATGAACTCTTACATGATATCGATCATATATATCTTAGAATTTATGGATGCATTATTCATTTGAATTCCTTTTGCAAAAGACAGCATCTCCAAAACATCAATCATGATTAATTTTCTTATATGTGGGAATATGCGTTACTGTGATTTTGTTTGTTTCTCAGGCATGGCTATTCTTGAAATTTCTTGCTTTATTCGTTTTACTACCTTATCAACTTATTTTATTCATATGTTAATATTTTAGAGGTCATGAAAAAAACCCTAATTTGGTCTCATTCTTTTATTTCAGAGCTGTAAAGAAATTGAAGAATCAATCTGATTCATCGTTGCTATCTGAACTGCGGTCAGGTAGAAGGGAGAAGATAGTGGAAGTGGATGGCACAGTGACAACCCAACCAGTTCTCCAGCATTTGGGAATTTCTACATGGCCTGGTGAGTCATCTTTTTCTGGAAATTTTTCCTCACCCTGGGACCATCTTCTCTAACTTCATCTTGATCATTGTTGTTGTTATTTAAGGAGGCTTATGACATTCTTGTAGTGCAGTTGTTTTAAAGTTGTGATATATCTTTTTTGTTTTTTTTTTAATACTTCATAATATTTTTGTGTCTTTACAGCATGTTCTTACCTCATCCCTACTTCATTTTCATCTGATGCAGGGAGACTAATCCTTACTGATCATGCTCTATATTTTGAACCTCTTAAAGTTGTATCATATGATAAAGCAACACGCTATGACCTAGCAGATGATTTGAAGCAGAGTGTCAAACCTGAATTGACTGGTCCATGGGGTACAAGACTTTTTGATAAGGCTGTTGCTTACAAATCTGTTTCTCTGTAAGACCATTATCTCTTACTAGTCTATAGGTTTTCAGGTAGCTTATACCTTCTTTTGGCATGTTTGTGCATCAGAAGACTACTATATTGTAGCTAATATTACTGTCTTGTAAATTTAGATCTGTTGATTAAATTCATTATGTATCCTTCAGATCAGAACCGGTAATAATGGAATTTCCTGAGCTTAAAGGGCATAGTCGACGTGACTATTGGTTGGCGATTATGCAGGAGATTTTATTTGCTCATAAATTCATTCGCAAGTACAAGATATCTGGCATTGGACGGGAAGAAGCACTTCTAAAAGCTGTACTTGGGATTCTTCGGTTGCAGGCCATTCAAGATATGAATTTAATAGGCCCTGTTCGTGTGGAAGCAATTCTTCTTTTTAATCTTTGTGATCATCTACCCGGGGGAGATATGATTCTAGAAACTCTAGCCAGCATGTCCACCTCAAGAGAGTTAGAAAGGACAAATAGTCCTCGACGATGTGGTTTGCACTCTAGTTCAGCTTTAGCGATTGCCACTACTTTAGGCTTTGGATTTGGTTCCAATGACCATAACAATCATGTACTTCTTGTGGGTGAGATAGCAGTTGGGGATACAACTCCCTTGGAGAAGGTTGTTAAGGAATCAAGAAGTAGCTATGAGAAGGTGGTCCTAGCTCAGGAAACAGTGGACGGTGTAAAAGTAGATGGTATTGATACCAACTTGGCGGTAATGAAGGTATATTTTGATAATCCTTGACATTAACATTTGGCCATCCATCAGATATAGATATTACACTTGCAAATGAAGTTAGTGGGTTAAACCCAGATATGCTACTGTGGTTGTTCAACCATAGAAAGCACTGACTTGTCAATAGCTAACCGCATTTTCAGGTGTTAATACCAACCATTTTGGGGCATTTATACTTGTTTTTCTTAGTTGGAATTGAATAGCCTTACAATCTTACACTCATTAACCATGACAAGCAGAGTTGTATTAAAAGTACATGTCTGAACATGTGATGATGTTGATGACGGTTTGCAGGAATATCGTAGGCTTTTGGTGAGAATTTAAACTGACTAAGTTTTATTGGCTCTGACTACTTTATTATGGCATAGTGGTGATCAAACCTAATACCTTCTGGTTTTGCTTATTGTATTTTATGTATAAATGAAGATAGCGGTGGTTTATTGGTGTGTGTGTGTGTGTGTGTGTATGCGCATTGTGTGTGCTTATGAGATAATGAAAGAGACAAATGGGGGTTCCGATGAAGACAGGGAAAGAAGACTAAAACCATAATTCACCCCCCTGCATTTAATGGATTCATTTCTTGATCCATGTCCCATTACCTGATAGGATTAGGGTATTTCCCCGGGACAGAATTTTATTTTTGTCTTGACTTTTTTATTGACATATTTTTGCAGGAGCTACTTTTTCCTGTTTTAGAACTTGTCAACTGTATTTTTTCTCTGGCTTATTGGGAAGAGCCTTTGAAGTCTCTGGTATTCTGCGCAATTGTTGCTTATGCTGTCTTCAGGTAAGTTATTTGGATCTAATTATTTATCTTATATCATGTGTCCATGGCCTTAAGTTGAAGATATTTTTGATGTAACATTATCAAGTTTGCTGATTGCTTTGCCTCATTCCTCACATTCTTTTCTTTTATTTGGCCGTCTTCTAATGTGTTTGAGAATCTTGGTATGAAAGATCTTTGGGGGAATTTGATTAGACTAGTATAGTTAATTTGCAATCTATGTTTTGGTTTCTTTGAACAGTGTGTGACTCTCTTCCATGATATTGGTTTAGCTCATGGAATTAGGATTGTTGAGGATAACCTTTTATATCTCTAGCCAAATGAGGATTACCCCAGTTGAAACTTTAACCTGCAACATATTCATTGCTCCTATACTCCCAACTGTCCAAATTGTGGAAACTTGTGCATGTTGAAGTTTTGCAATGAAAATTGGCCATTAATTGTTTTCGTATGTAATTGTAAGACTTGACTGAAATTTCATGAGTTGTGGTGTTGAAAGTAGTTTTGTTGATCAGACAAGAGAGTGTTGTACTTACCCAGGGGTCTCATTCTGTTTCTATTATCCAAACAACTTCGCATGTTCCCACTTTCCATGTGTGTTTAGTTGTTCACCAAAGGATAGAACCTTCTAGTTGCAGGAATACTTCAAGGAACATATAATTAATGAAACATAAACACTTTACATGCTTCAGGCATGTTAACAATGCTGCCAAATGATTGATAATTAAGGACTAGGAATCTAGGATGGCTTTGATAAATAACTCCTGAGGCCTTTACACCATTAAATTGGTCAAATTCTATAATATATGCTTGTCTGTTCTGATTTCTTGGATATTAGTACATAGTAACCTTTTGGTTGTGCCGCATTTGCAGGGGATGGCTTGTGTATGTTGTTGCTTCGCCTCTAATCTTTATTGCATTCTTTATGCTTCTGACACTTTGGTTTAGTCAAGGTCGACCTGTTTCAGAGGTGAAGGTAATAGCTCCACCAACAAAGAATGCAATGGAACAGATTTTGGCAGTCCAGAACGCAGTTTCTCAAGCTGAAGAGTTCATCCAATTTGGAAATATTATTCTTCTCAAACTACGTGCCTTGTTGCTATCCATTTCACCTCAGGTTAGTATCTTCGTTTATTTCCAGCTGTTCTTGATACTTTGACCCTCTCCAACCTCTACCTAATTGAATAAAGATTATATTATATACTGATGAATAAGCACCTCAAAAGAAGACAAAAAAGGAGAATTGATTATACACATGTACATTTTAATGCATGTTTGGTACGGAGTATGAATCAAGGAAAAGGTATGGAATATAACGAATAATAAGAGGAAAGGTTAAAATTTTTAGTGTTACCATTATTAGTTGTTTGGTATACCCGAGGAAAGGAATCCTTTGTATCAAATTGAGGATCAAGGAGGGAAACAATTTTGTTACCATCAGGTTGGTAAAGGTAACAAATTGGTGGCAATAATTAGGAAAAGGAGTGTGCTATCCTACTTCTCATACCAAAAACTTGTTAATGTAAACGGGTAACTAATTCCATTTTCACTCATTAAAAACACTATACCAAACATGCTCTTTGTAATTTAGTATGGACTTTGGGGAGAAAAAATTGTTGCTCTTGTTTGTGTTTTCTTCTATTACTTAATGTTTTGATCTATGTTACAAATTTACATTAGTTTGGACTCGAGATCTGATATTGATCCTACTGATTTTGTAGGCTACCATGAAATGTGCAATAGTGCTTTCGGGCATGGCTGTGTTTTTGGCATTTGTCCCAAGTAAGTACATTATACTGTTGTGCTTTCTGGAGGTATTCACAAGGTATTCCCCTCCAAGGAGAGCAAACACAGAAAAATGGGAGAGGCGTTTGAGGGAGTGGTGGTTTAGCATACCCGCTGCACCAGTTGCTCTTGAGAGAGAGAATGAAGATAAGAAACGGAAATAATTTCACGTTTGCTTGAAGGTTGTAGATTAGTAATAAATCATTGTATCATTCTGCTAATAGAAAAGCTGCTTGTTAATAGAATGACTGTTAATAAAGTTCTTTTCTAGTATACAAGATATATCTAATGAGAAGTGTAAAGTTGAACATAATTCTCTGTGCATATGGTTAGCGTTGTGCATTTCCCACAGAGATGCAAATGAGGGCTACCTATTCTTAAACAGTGAGACCAGCAAGCATTAACGGCGACATAATTAAAAAGGTCGACAGAGAGATATTTTTCAAGAAGGGAGCTTCATTGGCAAGATTAAGACTCACAATGACATACAGAAGGGAGCAACTAACTTGGAGTTCATTCAGCCACAACTAGATCGGGAAACTTCACTGAATTCCTGGGATAATCCCTGAATCTTGTGTGCAGAATGGTTTCTTATGCTTGGCCAGTAAATGGAGAAACAAGGAGATAGTATTGGTGATCAAAGGCAGCACAATATGCTATATTGCTATTTAGTAAGGCTTGTATGATGAATGAGACTTTCAAGGTTCCTGAAACTTTCAAATTCCTGAAAGTTTCAGAAAGCATGGAAATAGAGGCAAAAGGCGAATATGAATGAGTTGAAGCACACTATAATTTTATTCAAACATGTTCGTTAGTACACTATAATGTTTGTGAATGGTTCGTTTATTAAATAACTCTCTAATATGACTCAGTTTAAATATATACGAGCTTCTTTCTTCTTAAAATAATAATAATAATAATAATAATAATAATAATAATAAAATTTTAAAAAAAATTATGTGCAACTTTTTAGTATTATTATGTTGTATATAAAATTTACAAAAGTTGCACATAGAGATAATATAAAATAATATAAAATTTATGAATGTAAGATAAATTATAAAAAGTTTTTAAATGATCAATTGATATAAAAGTTTTCAAATAAAAGCACTTTACAAACGAATATGTAGTTCATGAACTTATTTGAACGAGTACATCTATGAGTTCATTTGTGTTCAAGCTCATTCATCAAACGAGCTTTAAATTTTGTCAAATTCGGCTCATTTATTAAATAAACAAATATGAACGAGTTTCAATCGAGCTCGTATTTTTTTATTGATCGGCTCGGTTCATTTTTTTATCGGTTGGCTCGGTTCATTTTTTTATCGGCTCGGTTCATTTTAGATCGTGAATTTATGAGCATAAATAAACAATTAGTTTGTGAATATACTTTTGACAAACTTTTAAATAAAACGGATGTTCAGTAAATTACTGAACATCCGTTATAAAGTGACAATAAAATGTACAAAAGTTACACTAAAACGCACAAAAGTTACCCTGACACATATAAGAGTTATTTATGCTTCATTGATAAATTTGACAAAAGTGACACTAAATCTGACAAAAGTGTACCCGATGTACAGTATATTATTGAAAACCGGGTGTATATAAAAGTTTTCCTATAATTTTTTCAATTACGAAATTAAATATATATTTATCCATAAATAACCGCATATAAAAAAAATAAAATTGATATGATTTAGTCTAATTTAATCTGAAAATGTATGATATAAGAAAATATCTACTTAAATATGTTGAAACAAACTTAGCAAGAAGCCTACAGTGGTAATACACGAAAAAAAAAAAAAAATACATGGTGAAAGTCTTCCTAAAGATCTTCTTTGATGGTCGTTTTCTTCACTTTTCTTGTTCAACCTGTATCTTTCTCTGCAGCGTGCAAGGACAAATGTAACATTTTTTGGACTTTTGGTCGATTTCGTGTGAACATTGAATCTTGCATTTGCATCCGAAAGTTTACTAGTTGTGGTATGCAGCAAACAATTTATACTACTACTTAGATCAAGTGTCTCTTACGCTTTATTTGGCCAGCAAGATGCTCAAAATCTACTTCATATGCTAAAACTAAGTCATATCTCACACTGATGGTGTAAATCTAGTAACGCGACAACTAAATCCGTATGTGGGGAAGATGTTAATTTCTATAGCCCTACACTGTTGGTATACAAAAGAACATTAGAATTGAGCTACATCCTAATCGAATAAGTGTAAGAGTAGCTTGAGCTCTATCATCCTAAGCACAATGTCCTCGATCATCTAATCATGTTGTGCTGAAGCATTCACTATCCAGTGCAAATTTTGACAAAGTCGAAAATAATCCGTGGTTTATACACACAGGTGTACAGTGCTCATCATACACCCGGATAAATAAAAAAAAGGCGGAAAGAACATCTTGTGTTTCATAAAGAACATACATGTATTTGATAAAGAACATATTTGTATTTGACAAAAACATGCATTACCAAAGAACATAAAGATATAATAAAAAGAACGAGATTAAAACTTAATTAAATTTTCTGAAAAATTACACATTATTAACGGAAAAAATTTAGAGGTGATAAAAAATCTAGTAGGGCTGGGCCATATCATAATTTATCGTGCCCAAACCCGTAGAAAAGTAGCGGGTTTTCGGGCTTTTTTCTAACCCGGTTTGAGTTTTAACTAAAAATGCATTTTTAGGTTTGCCCAATCCCACCCTATTTCGGGCCGGATCGGGTCGGGATGCGAGTCATGCCAATGTTGATCACCTCTTAAAAAATCCTTACCAAATATATCATTTCCCCAAAAAATAGTTTTCTATCTCTCCAAAAAAAATTCAACTTTCCATAATAATTTATTTTTTTACTCTAATATTATTTTCAATTAAAAATAATTTAAGATTTCAATATCAAATTTCAAAATACCATATGATTAGGGGATTTTGCTCCCACCAATCGGAATGCGCCACGTGGGCCAATCAGGTCCTGCCAAGTGTCCCCCAGTTGGAACTGTCATGGCTTGCCACGTGGCACACGCTTATTCGTCCACCTTGGACCTATTATGTCATGACACGTGGCATACTCCATGCCTAATGGAGAAACCGGCCACCCAGGCCCAACTTCCGAGGGAAGCCCAATCAGCCCTAGGTTAACCTAAACCTAGGATTGACACGTTTCCCAAGGTTATAAATACCTCCCTTAATCCTCATTAAGGGGGGATTACAGAGATAACAGGCTGATCACGCTAACAAAGCAGATTACCTACATTAAACACTCTCACCTAGAGAGATCCAATCACTTTAATTTCCGCATTAATTACTCCTTAATCAAGTACTAATTTGACCGTTGGAGGCGGAGCTCCCACCACCAGGAGTCTCCGTTGTTTTGCAGGTACAGGCGTCCGGTTCCAGTCTCGGAATTGTAACTCTCCCGCAGGACATCAGAAAACCCCGAAACACCATATGTTAAAAGAACATAATTTATATTGTAAAGTACATATAGTTAATACCTAAATAACACACTAATCAAACTTAAAGAATATACGATAATAAAAGTAATTTAAATATGACATGATAATAAAAGTAGAATTTGGGCATCACTATGACCTTAAAGAACATACACGCCAAATTCAAAGAACATACTTTGTATTATTAAACCCAAATAAACATATATGTTTATCAACATATGTTAAATAACATAAGTTATAATGTAAAGAACATATAATTTTACTCAAAGAACACACTGATCACACTCAAAGAACATATTAAAGGTATGTTCTTTGTCAAACATTGGTATGTTCTTTATCAAACACTACATGTTCTTTCCGCCTTTTTTTGTTTACCCGGGTGCACTATGAGCATGGTACACCCGGGTGTATTATCTAATTTTCAGTCGAAAACTAAAAGAGTAATTTCAGAATAAGTTAATTTACAAATGAAAACTTCAAATTAAAGCGTAAATAAGATTTAACTTATTGAATGACAAAAATGGTTCATAGTAACTCTAATGCAATACCAAAGTTGTTGACGTATGTACGCCATCTAACCAAAACAGGCACATTAGACGCCCCAAAACTGTTTAACTAGCCAAAATTGAAACAAAATATAAAAAGAAAAATGAAATTAAGTTATCTGATCATATGGAAAGTTAATATCATAATCATAGATAGCCGGGTCACCACCATAGCATAACATGTCCGACGAATTAGGCAAATAGAGCGGCAGACTGGGTGGTGGCGCAGGCAGTAGGTCAAACAACTGCGGAGTCATATAAGGATTGAATTGTCCCACAACATCACCTGTGTGGTTACCACTACTGCTACAATTCTCGTCTGTTATAACTGATGATGATTCGTTATCATCTGTGCTATTACTACTGTTATTATTATTATTGTCATTGTTATTGTTTACGCCGAGACAATTAGAACTTTCAACCTTACCCATATAATTATTATTATCCTGGTGCAGATGCTGCGGGGTGTAATCCACCTTAGGCGCGACAGACTCATGATTCGGGACACTAGATTCAGATTTAGCGGCCTCTTCGTTGTTTCTTGACATACCTGTAAGTTTTTGTACCAAGGCCATAAAGTCCCTAGGATTGGTGTGGATGACTTTAGGGGAATGAGTGTAGATAATAACCGGCCCTCGTTGTTGTTGCTGCTGTTGTTGTTGATTCAATTTAGCACTACTAGGTCCCGGAGATTTCTTTATGATAAGGGAGTCCCTATTAACCTTCAAAGACGACAGGGTCATTCTACCATAAACAGTATTGTTATTGGTGGTTGTCGTGGCAGCCGGAGGTGGAGTAGTCTCTTTCTTGACCGGATGCGGCACACGGTGGTGGTAAGGGTGGGGGTGGGGGTAGTGTTGATCTTGTTGGAAGGATGGAGGGCTCATTTTTCTTGGCATTATGATCAATGACTCTAAACCAACCAAAAAAAGTGGTGATTTTGTTTGATTTTTTAGTGAGTTAAATTATGTGATGGTTTGATTTAGTGGTAAAAAATGGATAATGGGTATATATAGGTAACTAATAAGTGGGTGGCTGTTATAGAAATGGAAAGTAATAGGGAGTAGTTTGCGGTAAAGAAGTGTGTAGGATCCCAAATGTCCTTTCTCTTATCATTTTTAGGATGCTGCACACAACAAATTACCAAACTTATCAGTTTATTGACAATTAATTAATTTTAATTAAGATGTGTTTTTGTATTATTATTTTTTGGGTTTTTCTATATTTTTTTTCACTTTTTTGTGTTGTGCCCCAATATATATCACTTTCTATACTGTAACCCCAATATATTTTTTGATTACATATGATAACCTTGTAATTATCCTCTCGTCAAAAAATTCTGTTAGTGGGGTCCACTCTCCATTTATTAATAATTTTATATCGATTTGAGCGTTTAAAAATATTCTGTCAAAGGTTTCGAGGGCTATTTTGGTTCTTAGGGGACCAAATTAAACTCATATTTCACAAAAAAAAATAATAATGTAAATGCCTTATTTTGTGTGTTAAAATGTGAACACGTCAATCGAGACATTTCTTAATAAGCAAAACAAGACATTTATGTTATTTTTTGCCAAATCTGAGCTCAATTTGGTTCCCTAAGCCCAAAATAGCCCCCGAAACTTTTGACGGAATATTTTTCAACACGCAAATTGGTAAAAAAATATTAATAATGGAGAGTGGGCCCCACTAACGGAACTTTTTAATGGTAGGATAACGGCAAGATTACCGTATGGAAACAAAAAATATATTGGGTTTAGAGTGTGGAAAGTGATATATGTTGGGGCATAACGTAGAAAAGTGAAAAAAAAAAAAAAAAAAAAAAAAAAAAAAAAAACAGGGTTACTATATAGAAAAACCCTTTTTTTTTTTTTTATAATTGTGTTTAATCTTGTGTTAGGCAATTGGGGTTTCTCACGTTAATAAATAAGTAAAATAATAAAGATACTTTGAAGATTATAGTTGGACTGTTTTCATAAATAAATTAATTAATAAAAATTATAGTTGGACTGTTGTACTACCATTGTTCTATAACTTAAATTTAAATTAAAATTTACCTTTTGACAATTATATTGAAGGCTTGCTTTCCAAGTTTTCTGTTTTCAAAATTTAAATTTTTTATTTATTTTAATTTCTATGAATATCATGTATTTTGTAAACTAGATAAGTCCCGTGCATCCATAAAAAAAATTATTTTAATAAATATATATTTTATACATGTCTCTCATATGAAATAAATTATAAAAATATAACCATTAATTGTCATCTGTAATCTATTAACTATACTAAAACATGAGAGTGAGGGATAGTTCAAGTGGTTAGAGCTTCCCTCCCGATTCCTTAAATGCAATGATGACATCATTTTTTTTTTTTTTGGTACAGCTATCCTATTTAACATTTTTGAAATTTAAATATTAAAATCTTCTACCTTACAACTAAAACATATCATTTTATTGTAGGAAATTGACGTCGAATAGATACTATATCACAATTTTGATGTAAATAAAAGATTTAAAATTACAAAATATACATAATTCTTATTTATATTCATGTATAATATAGCAATTTATTATTAAAATGTACAAATTAAAAATAGGTTTTATATAAACCGTGCATCGCACGGGTCCTAACTAGTGATATATAATAACAATAATAATAACAATAACAATAATAATAACAATAATTGTCTTCAAAAAAATAAATAAAAATATGATGTCAGCAATTGATTTAGGCGGGAAAAATTTTAACAACAACTTGACATGTATACAATTTTTAAAAAGTGATGATGTTATTGGTTGTTATTTCGTATATATTTATAGATTAGGGTGACTCGGTAAAAAAAAAAGTTTATCTCATGTCATTTTGGTAAATAATCAACAAAAAAAATCAAAATTATTATGACATTTTCGTAAATAAATCAACACTAGTTTAGTCCCGTGCGTTGCGTTCCACTCGGATTAAGTAGCTTTTTTTTAAGGCAAGTAGCTATTATTTGTTTAAATAGTTGTCAATTTTATTTGAAAAAAAGTGTATTCATAATTCCATTAATTAATTTTGAAATAAGTATTGTATTTCTTTAGTTTTGGAACATAAAAAGGAAAATACAAGAGAAAAATAAGGATGATGTCAAAAATAGTTTAGGCAAGAAAATTTTTATTGAGAATTTGACATGTGTCCCTTAATGATGTTAGCATGTTTTGTTTAAATAATAGTTAATCAAAAAGTATTGTGTAGAACGGATACAAACAGGACAGACTCATATGAAAATTTCACAAGAATAATCCAACCTTTTGCTGGTTCTCCCAAAAAAATCCAACCTTGAATAATTCTTAATTTACCTATTATTATTCTCTCCTAGCAATCCTATTTTACCTGCAACCGGCTGAATAAGTCAACATCAGAATTTTTTTTTTCCTTTTTTTTTGTTGGATTGAACTATCATGAGAGCCCTAACCCACCATCCTTTAAACACCACCACCACCCTCCAGCCACTCCCTGGTTTGCTGCCTCTCCCACCACCGGCCACCAGTGACACACCACTCCCTTTCCCCACCTCCATGCAGCTTCTGCAACCCCCTTCCCTCCCTACCCCACCTTTAAAACCACCATTATCTCCCACTGTAATCTTGCCCCCGAAGCCACCACTCTCTCACCCCCACCACCGAACCACACTCCTCCAATTCTCAAAATCTTTCATCCTCTTCTCCCTCTCAATTAAATTTCTATCTCCTTCTTAAAACAACCACCACTAGCCCATTGTCAATCCTCGTCAGTTTGGGGTTTAACTTTGTGGGTGATTTAGATCATGTGTGGTGGTGGCCCGGTGGTTCGTTATAATGGGGTGGTGACTGCCTGACTGGTGAGATTCGTGGAAAGTGGTGAGTGGTGGCTGGTGAGCGAGTGGTTTGCATTGGTTTGTGGTGATGGTGGTTTGTGATTCATGGTGGTGGTGATATATATGATATCAGGTTGGTGTGAGCTGTTGTTGGTGGGTTAGTGGGAGGGAAGGTGAGGTGGTTATGGTAAATGACCATTGGAAGGTAGAGGAGAGAGAAAGAAACAGAAAGGGAAAAAGAGAGGAAGAGGTGGATTTTTTTTTTTACTTTAATAATTTTTCTAAATAAAAATAATTAACCAATGATTATTTGACACGTGGATTGGTAATCGGTGACAATGAATGAGGTGACCTGTTGGGGTTGCTAGGAGAGAATAATAGGTAAACTTAGGATTAAGGTTAATCAAAAGCTTGGATTATTTTAGGAGAACCAGCGAAAGGTTGGATTATTCTTGTTATATATATATATATATATATATATATATATATATATATATATATATATATATATATATATATATATAGAAATGGGATCATGTGAGAACTCATGGCTTAGGTGAGAACCATTTTAAAATGAGAACTCATCTAACACCATTCATTTTTATTAGATGAATGGTTCAGATTTATTGTTTCATTAGTGGGAATTCACGTGGGCCACCTTCATTAATTGTAATGATTGTTTGTATTTTTTTTTTAATTTTTGTGCATTGGGACACAAAATCTGCCAAAAGCTGTCATTATTACATGTTTTTTATTATTTATTGCATTGAAACACGTTACGTTAAAATGTAGTTGAAGTGTACGTCGTTAATGATGTTTCGTAAAATATATCAAGTGTTTCAATTTATAATATTAATGTTTCATATATATTATTGCTTGTTTCATACAGTTGGGCTCTATATGAACTAGGTGTATTGTGATTTCTTATACCTTATCTGATGTTTCAAAAAATATACCTTATGTTTCATTTTATAGTGCTTATGTTCCATAAAATATATGTGTTGTTTCATATACTAATGATATTATTTTATACATAAAAATCATTGATATTTCATATAATATTTTATTCGAATATTATTTATATTGTTCCAGAAATTTGAACTATTGTCCCATAAATATTATACATTGTTCCATACCATATGTGTGAAATGTATCAATGACTGAAATGCATGTTCCCAAGAAAATTAAAAAGCATGTACCAATGACTGAAATGCGTGTTCCCAAGAAAATGCATGGGAAATTGATAATTAATCTCAACCATCCATTAAGTGTAGTTGGTGTACGTTAATGATGTTTCGTAAAATATATCAAGTGTTTCAATTTATAATATTAATGTTTCATATATATTATTGCTTGTTTCATATAGTTGGGCTCTATATGAACTAGGTTTACTGTGATTTCTTATACCTTATTGATGTTTCAAAAAACATACCTTATGTTTCATTTTATACCACTAATGTTCCATAAAATATATGTATTATTTCATATACTAATGATATTGTTTTATGCGACAATAGTTCATATTTCTGGAACAATATAAATAATATCCGAATGAAATATTATATTATGTATAAAACAATATCATTAGTATATGAAACAATACATATATTTTATGAAACATAAGTAGTATAAAATGAAACATAAGGTATGTTTTTTTAAACATCAATAAGGTATAAGAAATCACAGTAAACCTAGTTCATATATAGCCCAACTATATGAAACAAGCAATAATATATATGAAACATTAATATTATAAATTGAAACACTTAATATATTTTATGAAACATCATTAACGTACACTTCAACTACATTTTAACTTAACGTTGACAACACAATTCAATGTAACATTACATTTTTTAATTGAAACAGCGACAAGTCTTTTTGAAACAATAATAACATCTTTTGAAACATCTCAAAATTATTCCTTTAATATAATAAAATAAGTAATTAATATTGTTCCAATTGGATGATATGCCCGTTATTGTCAATACAATTTATATTGTTCCAGAAATATGAATTATTGTCCCATAAATATTATATATTGTTCCATATATAAGAACTAGTGTTCCAATTACATGATATGCCCCTAGTTTTCGAATTTTAAATATGTCGTTCCAGAATTTTTAACTATTGTACCACATACAGATTTGCTCTTTTTTTGCACTACTTCGAAAATTCTACCAAAAAAATATCAAACGAACTCCAAAAATTCAGAAATTTTGTATGCTTATTCTACACAAAAAAATAAGCAGATTCAAAAAAATAATCTCTTCAAAAGGGTTTTTTATGAGAGAGAAATCTTCATTTGAAATCCGTCGTTCCAGATTTGCTCCTTTTTTGCACTACTTCGAAAATTCTACCCAAAAAAATATCAAACGAACTCCAAAAATTATGAAATTTTGTATGCTTATTCTACACAAAAAAAATAATCAAATTAAAAAAAAATCCGCTTCAAAAGCTTTCTTTATGAGAGAGAAATTTTCATTTGAAATCTGCCTTCATTTCTCTCTCTTCAATGGCTAAATTAAAATGAAACCAGATTTTCCATTTTCTCTCTCTTCAATGGCTGAATCTCTTGGTTTTATAGTACATAA